AGTTGTTCTCGTAGAAACATAACAATCTCATGAAATATGTATAGATAAAGGCGGTTGCAAGACGCAGAGTGCGTGGTCCAAACGAGTAAACAAATGTTTGATTTTTTTCTTTCTTTATTTGCAACAAACAAATTTTGTATGAAAAAGAAATTTGCCTTAAAGATCTATCTTTATATCAAAGATGTATTATATGAGAGAAAATTCTGATTTTTTTTTTTTTTTGAGAAACAGAAAATTCTGATCTTATTGGTGCCCAATGCTTTGATACTATTTTTTTCTCGTTACTATTGTTTGACTTCTATTTTTAACTTGATTTACATTTTCATTTAGTTTAGAAAGATTAGCTAAACCATTGTCAATCTCAATTAGTTTATAGTCTCGAAAATTCTATGTAGAAATTTTGGTTATTGTGTATTTGATCCCATTACTGCACATTTTACAATGCACTTGTAGTTTAAGTTTATCAAATTAGAACTCGAGCTATCAAAAGTTTGCTTTTAAATATTAGAAAGATTTCATTTCAGTACATATCCATAAACTTTATATTATTTTTGGTGTCCTCTACAACTCAAACATGTATATTCTCGATTTTGAATTTGGATTATGACATATAAACGACACTATTACAAGTTACTTGGCTACAAACCGGCGTAAGAAAATAGCTTTATAATAAAATGATTAGACTACTGTACCCTATTAGAATCTGCGTGTACGGATTAAAAAAAAAATACAAAACAGAGTACTTAAAACTATTTTTTTATCACGATTTTACATGATTATACCACCATTAGAATTTTAAATCTGAAAACTAAATACCAACTCACTCATCATATTTTTACATGTTTATACCACCAAGATAAAAATTACAAGTAAAAGATACAATTGATAACAATTTACAATATTCATAAAAAAAGATAAAATTAATAAAATATATTCATTAACTCTCACTCATCATATTTTTCATTTATTTTATCCATCGAATCTTCTATAATATTGGCAAGCTGTGCTTTGCACCACCATTGATTCGTAATTGCATGTCTTCGTCTTCTCTTGCTAGATTTTAACATTAACCCAACACCATGAAATATTATAGGAATCGAGCATCACCCAATAGTCTAATATTTATTATTATTATTA